CAGCCAATAAGATAGAGCTCCGAAAAAATTGCAGGCTTTGCCGGAGACTCTCTGGTCGGAGAATATCGTGAATACAAAGTAAAATAGTAATAAGCTGAGTTTATGTATAAGGCTGACGAAATCACGGCTTGGCACGGCGTATCCTGTTAGTACACCAAGTACCTGACTGTCACGCAAGTTCGGCCAGCTGTAAGGAATGATATGTTGTGTACACATATTAACAAAACAAAGACTTAGCATTGTTCAACTCACTATGCGCATAAGCCCATTAGCATCAAGAATGCAAGTGAAACTATTGAGAGACAGTTTACCGCATAACCCAGATCTATGAGGGCTGTTTCGCAGACATTCGGATCGTTGAGAGCGGCATCCTGCAAAGGGAAAATCGACCATAGTTACATGACGAGGACACGAGGAATCAAGGTGAATAGACAATTTCACTCTTTCTACATTAGCTCCTAATATAGTGATCAGATGATAATCAATCCCTGACTTTTTTGGCGATTTTTTTCCTTGTTCTTTCAATCACACGCTCTGCGCGAAACACTTCGCCGTAGACAAGCCGCTATTCTGACTTCCTCATTGGAGCGCATCAAGATGATAAGGAGCGCCACCGAGGAAGGTAGTGTGGTATGTCTGACTCTACCCATACGGTCAGCTTGAACACTTCCTTCAGGAGTTACTTAAAGGCACGGTCCGCGATCAGGTATAGAAGTTGAAAATATGGCATCGGGAGGGTAGTGTGGTCCGCGACGAACAACCTTGTACCGGTTTTGCGGCAAAAAATTGTAAGGGAGGGGCGCTATAGCGCAATATAGGTTCAGTGACGCCTCCTTTTTCCAGTGACTCCGCCTCCAGACTCCGCCTTCAAGGCCCGCCTTTCAGTGAAAAACGAAGCTGCAGGACGAAAAAGCATGAAAATCGTCACTTGTACGGTCGTAGAGTTCTTATCGGGGAATCAGCTGTGCGGATGAGGGCGTAGTGTTGGAGATGGAGTTAATTGGGCACGTACAAACTGGGATCGAAATGGGGTTCTATCTAGGGCAGTTGGCATATTTTCCTGCTTTTTTCTTCACTATCGAGTTACTCAGCACCTTGTCGTTTATATGCGAATCCCTATGCTACCCTGTGATGAAGAATGATTGAGGGCTCTGCCTTTAGAGATCGCCAGAATGATAACGAATTTTTAGAGGATTTGATTTCAGCACTCTTCATTGTAGCGTCTCGCGATAAAGTTTTGACTGCAGCCCAAAGCGCGTCAGAAAGCACGAGACCTGGAGCAGGTTGCACCGGGACATCCGAGGGCTTGTGTAGCAACAGAATCGTCCGGGCATTGGTGGGTGTGGACTGCGACATACTTGCAGTGAGAAGACGAAGCGTGCTTCTGGCGGTTTGAATAGGGTAAGGGAAGGTAAATATTGATATCATCCAGGATCGAGTCTTGTGTTCTGTTACGCTTACGTTTTTTCAGTTCGCATTATGAAGCGGGAATAAATCATGTGTACCGACCAGAAACATAGGGAGAACCACGGCCTTATCTGATTTCTTTTGTATCTGTTTATTTCCTGAAGTTGCGTTTATGGAACCGCCAAACAATTGTGTGTTACTATGAAAAACATCATTAGATTTTCAATCATTGATGAAACCTGCTAAATGTTGCGGATGTACGCTGTAGTAAATCATTTGCTCCAGTCGCAAAGCTATCGGCTAGCAAATGCACGTAAGTGAGCTGCTGAGTCATTCGCCGCGCGACGCGCCGCGTGCCGCGGGCGCTGCCCGGACGATTCTGTTGCACGTCTCCCCTCTCCGAGGGGGAGCATTGACCACGTTGGAAAAAACGGCAACGCAATCGTTCCCCAACATTTTATTGGCGTTCTTGACAAATGCGTCGAACTTTAGTATTCTAGCATAGGAGCATCCTACACCTCATCCCGCACTGAAGTGTGTAAAGACTGGTCCACCAAAGTGCCTCCTTTATTGGTGTATTCCTAGTTCTTAGAAGGTTGGGAAAGAGGGCGGCGAAGCAAGGGCAGGACCTGATCCGCCCATTCAACACGGTGTCGGTCAGGAAGCAATAAGCACGAATTAAGCCTCAAATCACGGCTAGTTAGAGTGTAAGGTATTGATTCATGCTTCTCTATGAGGAACGTAACCAGCCTCCCATAAGGGAACTGAAATAATTCTCACGGAAAGCATGATGTTCCTATTCCAGTTTAGCTTCAAGCAAACGACTCACAACGATGAGTGTGAAATCCGTCAGATGCTGGCATTTAGCGACTATCACATCCCCTTCGGTGCTGGTTTCACATTGGTTTTCAGTGGACCATTCCAATTTTTCTGTGTCCCACCACGTGACACGAAAGTGACCATGAAGTGGTGTAAGAACCTTAACTTACAAAGGCACTGGTTCAGCTAAAGGTCGAATTTTGAAGAGCTTTGAAGTCTGCTTACCCTGGTGATGTTGAATCTCAATACAGCGATGGTGCTATCCGAATCAAGTCGCGATATTACCTATTT